TCAATCACTCCACTTCAGAAACTGGCCTCTGGGTGGCAGGATTAGAGATGATGTTTTCTGTTTCTTTGTAATTTTCTACATACCGAGTATTTCATACGAAGAGTCATACCCAACCAAAAACTCAATGCCATCAAGTCGATTCCAAGTCACAGCCATTTCTCAAATATTCCAAGCACACTCCTATCTCAGGGCCTTTGCACTTGCTGCTCTCTATGCATGGATTGCACTTATCCCAAATAACAGCAGAGAGCACTTACTCATTTTTTATTTTTAATCAACTTATCTCATCAGTGACAAATTTCCTAACCGTCCTACCTAAACCTGCAAATCTTCTGACACTTCTATCCCCTTTCTGGCTTTATTTTCTCTTCAGTCCCTATCAGTACCTAACATAGTATATGCTTTACTTACCATGTATAACTATGACCCCCTAAAGAATGTAAGTAAGCTCCATTATCTTTTATCTTTTCTGATCACTATGTATAAAATCACATATGGTTTGGCACATAGTAAACCAAACTAAACACTCTACCATTTAATTGATTCCAACTCATAGCAATCCCTACTGGGTTTCCAAGGAGGTAAATTTTTACAGAAGTATATTGCCCCATCTTCTTTCCACCAAGCAGCTGGTGGGTTTGAACCACCAACCTTCTAGTTAGCCATCAAATATCTTAGGCACTACATCACCAGAGGAAGTACTCAATAAATATTCATAGAATGATTAGGTGCATAAGAAGAGGCTTGAAATGAATCAGATTATAGACAAAAATAGTATGGTTATTAAACTCTCTACCATCTAAAATTGATGGTACAAGAAATAAAGGCCTACATATATTATTGAGAGGTACAAAAGAGGTAGTAGAACTAAAATAATTGTTAACAAAAACTGAGCGTTAGTGTGAGTGAGTTAACTCCTCATCTTTAGTTGCCAGAAGTCACCTGTTTTAATCTAATACAACAATATACAACAGTACAGTAACAACACTTCGTTTTATAATAATAAAATAATGTAATATAATAATCTTACAAAGAAGTAAAAACACAAATACTTAAAGAGGGTTGCCTTGGTGAAAGGGGACTGAGGAGAAGGATCCTTTGGCTTTTCATTATAAGCCCTTTAAAAAAAAATTTATGTATTTATATTATGCTGTTTAAAATATTTAATAGATCAAATCAAAACTAAAAACTTACTCTGTGAAGACCCTATGAAAAGACAAGCTACAGAGTGGGAGAAAATATTTGCATATCATGTATCTGACAAAAGATTCAAACCAAAACCAAACTCACTGCCACTGAGTCAATTCCAACTCAAAATGACCCTCTTTGGGTTTCCAAGGCGGTAAATCTTTACAGAAGCAGGTTGCCCAGACTTCCTTCAGTGGAGTGGCTGGTGGGTTTGAACCACCAGTTTTCAGGTTAGCAGTCAGCTGCCTTAGGCACTATGCCACTAATATCTGAATATATAAAGAACTCTCAAAACTCAACAGTAAAAAAAAAAAAAATTAATTTAGAAAATGGGCAAAAATCATAAATAGACATTCCACTAAAGAGAATATACAGATGGCAAATAAGTACATGAAAAAAATGTTCAACATCATTTGCCATTATAGAAATGCAAATTAAAAACAAAATGAGGTATCACTACACTACACACCTATCAGAATGGCTAAAATAAAAACAATGACAACATCAAATGCATGCAAGGATAAAGAGAAATCAAATCACTCATATTTTACTAGTAGGACTATAAAATGGCACAGTCACTCTGGAAAACAGTTTGGCACTTTCTTAAAAAGAAAAGTAAACATCCAATTACCATACAACCCAGCAATTATACTTCTAGTCATTTATCCCAGCAATATAAAGATTTATGTTCACACAAAAACCTGTGTTCACAGCAACTTTATCAGCCCAGATTTCTTTCAGTGAGTCAATGATTAAACAAACTATGGTATACCCATCCTATGGAATACTATTCGACAATAAAAAGGACCAAACTATTAAGGTAACACAATTTGACTGGATCACCCAGGAATTACGCTAAGCAGAAAAAAGTCAATTCCAAAAGGCTACATACTATATGAGTCTATTAATATAACATGTTTGAAAAAATTTGCAATTGGAGAACAGATTAAAGGTTGCCAGGGGTTCAGGTGTGGGAGAAAGAGGCGAGTGTGCCTATAAAAAGGCAACACTAGAGATTATTGTGTGTGGGAACTGTTCAGAATCTTGACCATAGTGGTGTATACATAAATCTACACTGGTAATAAAGTTGTATAAAACTTAATATATATACACACCACAAAAATTGGTACATATAATACTGGAAAAATCTGAGAAAGTGGATTTTCTCAATATCAATTGTGATATTATACTTAACTTTATGAAATGTTACCACTGGGAAAACTGGGCAAAGTGTACAAGAACCTCTATTATTCCTCACAGCTGCACGTGAACCTGTTAAGTATCTTAACTTTTCTTTTTTTTTTTTTAAATGTCCAATGGGGAAATAAAAATATACATCTGTATTTCTTCAGAATTATTTTGGGGACATGCTACATACGCGATCAATTCAACACCGGAGAAGGCAGGAAGATTCTTTTAGAATTTTATGAAGTACAAAAAGTTTCACAAGATGATGGTTTTTGCAAAATAGCTGCATTAATGAGTAAGAATACAAAGAGATAAGATAGAAAAATCCAGAGTAAATTAATATACATGTGTTTCAAACTAAATTATTTTAACATTTCTAGATTGGGGACCTGAGATGTTCTACCTCTCTCTACCACTCATCTTCAGCTTGTCACCTTTCGGCCTGCTTTTCAGATTACAGGACTTCTACTACCTGTCCTCTTTTTTGTAGCCAAGCCCAGGATAATAGGTGTTGCTTTCTGATAGATCCTCTCCTTTGTCTGAGTACAAAATTTTTCATGGGCAGATCTGTTGAGTTCAGCGTGGAAGCTGAGGCCAACATCTGAGTCTCCTCAGCACACAAGTTTGAGAGAAGTCCTGGCGACTTCAAGCTCGGAACTAAGCAGCAACAGCTCATACACAACTCAGAAGCCTCCCTCCCCTTCCAGGGAGAGATGAGGCAGAGAACAAACAAAGTTCAAGAGCACTGAGTATCGACTGGGATCTTAAAAGCTTGCAAGCAGCCATCTAGATGCAACAATGGGTCTCTCCTCATCCAGAGCAAAGAAAAATGAAGAAAAACAAAGATTCATGGAAACAATTAGTCCTAGCGACTAGTATACCATGCGATCTGCAGCCTATACAACTATGAGACCAAAAGAACTAGATGGTGCCTGGCTACCATTGTCAACCACTCGGAGGGGGATCTATGTAGAAGATCCTGGATAGAGTGGGAGAACAATGGGGAACAAAACTCAAAATCATTTGTGGGGGGGCGGGAAGGGACCAGGTTTCCTGGTCTGATAGAGCCTGATGGAATCACTGAAAGTGTGGCCCCTTGCTGGTCTGATAGAGCCTGATGAAACCACTGAAAGTATAGCCCCAAGCTGCCCTTCAGGTCTAGAATTGAACCCACTCCTGTGCCTTCCAGACAAACAAAAGACAGGCATATGAGCTAAACATTTACACTAGGTAGATACACTCCTTGGACAGAACAATCCTGGGAGAACAGAAAGGCTGTGTATGCACAGGGAGACAACTCAGGGGGCAAAAGGACGCAGAGAAGAGGTAACTATGGGGAGGAAGCAGAGAGGAGCTGTTGCATTGTGGTACCTTGTAGTCAATATCATGAGACAGAGTATACATGAACTGCTGTATGGAAAGTGAATTCGCTCTATAAACTTTAACCCAAATCACAATTAAAAAAAAAAGAAAGGTTCAAGAGCACTGAGGAGTAGCTATTGAACACCCCAAAGTCTGAGACCTGACCACCTCCTTCTGCTTTAACTGATAAAACAGAAATGGTGACAAGCACAGAAGCAGAGCTGAGGTTTCCGAGACGGTATCACTACAGAAGTAGTTTGCCCAATCTTCCTTCCAAGAGAGTGGCTAGTGGGTTTGAACCACCAGCCTTCTGGTTAGAAGTCAAATGCTTTAGGCACTATGCCACCAGACCTCCTAGACATGTTAAAGCTGAATACTGTTTAGGGTATGAATTACACATTCTGGATCCAAAACTGATGAGGCACTTTGGTTGGTAGGTAGGTAGCATGCTTAATAATTTAATAATATATCTAATTTTAAAAAATTAATAAAAATATCATTTATTTAACTAATCAACATAGATAAGCTTTATTGTTGTTGTTGTTATATGCCGTCGAGTCGGCCCCCAACTCATAGCGACCCCTCCTTGGCTTTCCGGGGCAGTATCACTACGGAAGTAGGATTGCCCAACCCTCCTTCCAAGGAGTGGCTGGTGGGTTTGAACCACCAGCCTTCTGGTTAGCAGTCAAGTGCTTTAACCACTATGCTACCAGAGCTCCTAGATAAGCTTTAGCAATACTCAAAAGGGCGAAATGTGACCAGAAACCTTTTGTTCAGAGAACTGAGACTCATATAGCAGCATCAAACAGTACCAAAAATGAAGTCACGTCTATGCTAAGAATGAGAATACTTATTTCCTTCCACAATGCATACATTAGAGCACAATTGAATGTAGGATTAAGAATATCTTCACCAGAGCAATTCCATTTATTAGTAATAATAATAAAATATAATGTAATTCTCAAATCCCATTTCCTAATTCACAAAAATGACTCTTTTGTATGAAGGGATGGACACTGGGAGGAGGTAACTATGGGGAGGAAGTGGGAGGGGAGCTGCTGCATTGTAAATTTTGGTCAATGACATGAGACAAAGTATATGTGAACTGCTGTATGAAAAGTGAATTTACTCTGTAAATCTTCACCCAAATCCTAATAAAAAAAAAAAAAATGACTCTTTTATCCTTGATATGAGGCAACAGGTACAGATAAAAGACAAAACTGATCTTAATAAACTTTAAGTTCCTTTAAACTTTAGTATACCTGCTTGTCCTATTTGGCTGAGGCAACTGTTCAATGACCTGACTGATGGAACCACATGTGCCCAGCTGAGAAGAATCTACAGGCTCTGAAAAATATAATTGGCACAAAAAACATTTACCACAAAACTTTCAGGAATACAAACAATAGCAATGTAATCAGCTACATTAGAACATCAACCTTTTTAGTACCTATTATGCATGAGATACAGCACTAGACTTCTTTACACATATTCACCACAACCATACCCAGCTCCAACAAGAGCACCCAAAATTGCAAAAGTCACTGACAGCTTTAAACACCTCACCTGCAGCCTTGTTTTCTTCCAAATGTTCACGGAACTCACTATTATTGTCTCCTTGTTCTTCTCCAGCTGTCTGTTCAGGATTGGACATAAGATCCTAAAAAATACACATATATAATCTCCACTGTACATGAAACAGCCCAAAATGAGAGATATGTCTAGTAAACATGTTGATTTTATTTTCCAACCAACTTTATCCAAAAGGTAGTGATCTCCTAATAAATACTTACGTTTGCTGGTTGGTCTAGATTCAAAGAAAAAAAAATATATATCTGCTCAATCATTTTCAAATAAGAGACTACTCACCAACACAGGGTTCTCTTTGTGTGTCTGTAGATTAGGAAGGTGTCTAGATAGCACACTGAAGTGAGAACCGGAATTATCTTCTAGAACCTGGCTTTCAGGCTGAGAATCTTCAATTATCAGGCAAGGAGTATCTTGCTGAGAGAAATCTGAATCCAACTGACTTCCAGTAGGGTCCATCTGCTCCCCTGGAATGGGATAACAAAAGATCAGTGCTCAGTTACCTACTAGTCTCCTCCCGCATAATGACCTTAAATAATGGGGCGGAAGTAAAAAAACCTGAGAAAGGGGACATGTCCAGGGCTCCTCCAATTAGAACATAGTGTTTATAATCGCTGCAAGCACTTTACTACCATGCCTCGCAAGCCCCCGTTTCCCCGTTATTTACACTCAGCCTGCCCATCCCTCCCTCCCTCCTTTTCCTTCCCCTTCACGTAGGCACCCCTTCCCCTCCTTCCTAACCTTTTCTTTCCCCGCCCCCTTTATCCAACCCCCACAACTCTCCCTACGTCCTTCGGCCGGCTCTGCCGCGCCCCAAAAAGCTGCTTTGTAACCTCTGTTCTCCAGAATCTCCACACCCCTTCATGCTTCCTCACGACCACCAGCCTTCCCAGCTACGGCTTCCCCACCCCCTCCTCAGGTCCCTCCAACCCCTTCCCCGTCACCGCCGCCATGCTTGCCACCCCGCCCCCTCCGGTCAGCCATCCCTTCAGACACGAAACCCAAACCCTCAGAGAAGACCTCGCCCCGACTTTTCACCAAACAGTACCAGGCATCCCGGCGGGAGGTCCCTCGCGTTCGAGCTAGAGGTCTTTGCACGCTCCCCAGATCCCTCCAGCTCGCTCCCCAGGTCGCCGCTGTCTCTACCGCCGCCACCGGCCGCGAACTCCCCCTTTTCCCGTCACGTCACGTATATCGGATCGCCCATTCGCTGCTGCTACCCGCCACTCAAGAAATATTGTGTGTGATACGTGGTTGAGTCTGAGTGTCCGCCTCACGTAAGAAAAAAGGAGCACGGCGGCGCGTTTCCATGGCAGCATGGACGTTGCAGACCCTCCCCCTAGTACAGAAGAATGACAGTATCCTTGAACCAAAGGGACCTTGAGAAGGTGTGAAATATATTCTGCCTCCAGGAGTGATTGTACTTATGCTTCTCAGACATATGAGAATCTCTACTTGCTTTCTATCGTTAATGCACCTTAAAGCCCCTCCTTTTACCCACTTCCGTAGTAAAAAAAAAAAAAAAAAAAAGGTTCTGGCTTTCTAATAAGACCGACAAGAAGATGTAGGCCAGTACTTCAGAGTTGGTGAAACCTAAGACGGGACTCTTCAGGGTTTACCTGTATCAATCAGGATCTCTTTTGTGCACTTTCACCTGAATCCAAGGGCCTCACATTGCACCTCTGCCAGTTCCCTTTTTTTTTTTTACATTATCTAAGGATCCCATTAAGACATATTCTATTCTTCCTTATCCAGTCTGGAATATAATTCCAGCTTTACATTTGCTTATGGTTGGCCTGTCTTTTATGGGATTGCAGCCTGTGGAGTCTGCAGCCCTAGATAGGTTTTGCACTGCCCTTGAGAGAATTGAAGAGGCTCTGGTGGTGCAGTGGTTAAGGCATTTAACTTTAAACCAGAAGGTCAGTGGTTCGAACCCAACAGCCACTCCGTGGAAGAAAGATAAGGCAGTCTGTTTCTGTAAAGATGTACAGCCTTAGAAATCCTATGGGGGGTTTCTATGAATTGGAATCAGCTCTTTGGCAGTGAGTTTGGTTTGGTTCATTTGAGAGAATTGGGCGCTGTCATTTTCAAACTATAGTGAAGAGAACAGCTGCCACCCTTCTGAACTAGACAACCTCAAAGATCCCTTCTATTATCGTAATGGTGCTGGGGTCTTATAAAGAGTGTGGCAGCTGTGACAAATATTAATGAACTAGACTCCATGAGGAATTTTTTTTCTTAAGTGGTGGTTGGATCTGGGATTAGATTCTACCCAGAGGAGCTGTCGATAAAGAAAGAACCTAGCATCAAAACTAAAAAAAAAACCTCATTGCCATCAAATTGATTTTCACTCATAGTAACCCTATTGTCAGAGTAGAACTACCAAGGCTGTAATCTTTATGGAAGCAGACTGCCACATCCTTCTCCAAAGAGCTGCTGGTGGATTCGAGCGAAGTTAACAAATTTTGTTAGCAGCCAAGCATTTAAGCACTGCACCACCAGGACTCTTTCTGAACCAGCATAACTCTCAAACCAAAGTCACTGCCATCAAGCAGGATCCGACTCATAGCGACCCTTCTTTGGGTTTCTGAGGCAGTATTACTACAGAAGTAGACTGCCCAATCTTCCTTCCAAGGAGTGGCTGGGGGTTTGAACTGCCAGCCTTCTGGTTAGCAGTCAAATGCCTTAGGCACTATGTTACCAGCACACAGAGACACATTCCACACCTTAATCTTAAAACCATTTATAATTGGCTCCTTTCTTTCTCCACAAGGAGCTCTGTTGGTATAGTGGTTAAGGCATTTGACTGCTAACCAGAAGGTCAGATTCAAACCCACCCACTGACCACTAGCTGATTCGAGAGAGGAAGATGTAGAGATTTACAGCCTTGAAAACCCAATGGGTATAGCTATGAGTCAGAATCGAGTTGATGGCAGTGAGTTTGGTTTTTTGGTTTTCCTCATCCACACCTAGTGCTACAAAGACCAATGTACACAAATAAAATTAATTTTAAAAGGACCAGGTCAAGTCAATATTAAGTCAATTACTTAACTAGGTGAGGTTGACAGAGTGATTTCATCTATTCAATTTGAGAGGGCACAAATAATCAGGTCCTATTCTGGGCAAATCTCACACAAAATTTCCCCCAACGTCACTACCTTTTGCTCTTCTTTTTCATCTCATGGTAGTATTTTCTCCCTCCCCAAGCAAGAAGCAAATAAACTTTCTTAATTATTTGATAAACAACTGTGATTGTCAAAACTCAAAAACTGTGAACTGGTGAAATAAGTTAATCACAGAAGGACAAATACTGTATTTGTTCACTGTTGTAAAAAGTCAAGGAAAGGTTTATCTATAAAAGGAAACATTCTTTGTTGGTTACCAGGGATGGGAAGGCAGGGAAGAAAACACCACTAGTTAGGTAGAGATAAGCACTGATTTGGGTGAAGGGAAGGGCAGTGTACCAAAAGCAAGTGATCAACATGGTGGCACTAGGAGAGGTACAGAGAGAGAGGTACACAAGAGGTACAGATAACAAAGATAAACCCTTTTACATATACAATACTGCATTGTCAGTGATAAACATTAATCTATGGGTAAATAGATGAGTTGACAGGTTGAATGATCAGGTATGTCTAGACAAAAGGGAATATAACCATGACCATATATAAGGTTGGCAGATGATATTTCTACATACATATTTGTACGTGCAATGAGAATGTCCCAAAATACAATAGAGCTAACAAGGGGCAGGGAGCTCTGGTAGCATAGTGGCTAAGGCACTTGACTGCTAACCAGAAGGCTGGCGGTTCAAACCCACCAGCCACTCCTCGGAAGGAAGATGGGGCAATCTACTTCCGTAGTGATACTGCCTCGGAAACCCAAGGAGGGGTCGCTATGAGTCAGGTCTGACTCGACGGCACATAACAACAACAACAACAAGGGGCAACATTATGATAACTTCTTGGCCACAGCTAACCACCCTAAGGGAGCAAGTAGTTGGACCTGTGGGCTCGGGACCATGGTCACAGGAAACATCAAGCTCAATTGGCATAAGATAGTACACAAAAACATTGTTCTACATCTTGCTTTGGTGAGTAACGACTGGGGTCTTAAAAGCTTGCAAGTGGCCAACTATTTGCAACAATGGGTTTCTCCTCTTCCAGAGCAAAGAAGAATGAAGAAAACCAGAGACACATGGAAGCAATTGGCCCATGTGATCCTCAGCCTATATGACCGTGAGACCAGAAGAACTAGATGGTGCCTAGCTACCACTGTCAACCACTCAGAAAGGGATCAGTGCAGGAGATCCTTGATAGAGTAAGAACAGTGTTGAACAAAACCCAAAATCTTAAAAAAAAAAAAAGACCAGGTTTACTGGATTGATAGAGCCTGGTGAGACTGCTGAGACTATGACCTATAGTTGACCTATAGTTACTCTTCAGGTCTGGAATTGAACTCATTCTTGAGGCTTCCAGCTAAACAATAGACAGGCATATGTTGTTATGTGCCATCAAGGCTGACCTGACTCATAGTGACCCCTCCTTGGGTTTCTGAGGCGGTATCACTATGGAAGTAAACTGCCCAATCTTCCTTCTGAGGAGTGGCTGGTGGGTTTGAACTGCCAGCCTTCTGGTTAGCAGTCAAATGCCTTAGGCACTACGCAACCAGAGCTCCTAAACAGACATATAGGGTGAACAGTTACATCAGGTAGATATACTCCTTAGAGTGATCAATCCTGAGAGAGGGGCAGTACTTGCACATAGAAATAGCTGAAGAGAGAAGAGGGGCAGGAATGCATAGGAAAGAAGGACAAAGGACTACAGGGAGGAAGTGGGAAAAGAGCTGTTACATTGTGGGGAATTGCAGTCAATGTATGAGACAAAATGTATATGAACTGCTGTATGGAAAATTAACATTCACCCAAATCATAGTAAATATAAAATAAAAAACTATGAACTAAAAAGTTTAAATTTTTCTCTATTTAAATTAAACCTAAACAAATATGACTTAAAATAAATAGATTAGTAAATAAGAGGGCCGGAGCCATTCCCATTACTAAAATTACTATAAAACACGATCCTAAAACAAACTGTGAAGAAAAACTGAGAATTCCTTTATTAAGCAGTGTGGCAACTAAGTTCATCATTGAATTACCCAGAAGATCAGAAAATGCAGGTAGAAGGGTGACTCACTGAGGCTGTGAACAATTGCAGTGAGGTGAGCCAATGGCCTTACTGACTCTAGGCTGCAAAGGCCCATCAGTAAACACCAGCACTTCTACCTTTCTTCAGGTACATCCTTACCTAAGTCACCTCTGATGGAAATCTAACCTAACTCTAAAGTCCTCTTAGAGAAGGAAATCCCATCAGACCTTATGTTAACTCACTTTAAAGTTTAGCAAACCTAATTGTCAGAAATTTTTCCCCTAATCCTTTAACTTAAATCCTTTATTCAGGAGCCTAAAGCCATTTCCTCTCATAATGTCACTAAGTGGTATCTTTAATACCTAGATAAATGCTCCTACGGCTAGGATCATCTCATCTAGTCCTGTAATTCTATAATATATCTCAACCAAACAAACAAACAAAACTGCTTAATTTTTGACAAATTAAGTACTATTAATTTGCAAGTCTTTCTGAAGTCACCTAGCCAGAGCAATAAGACAAGAAAAAGAAATAAAAGATATCCAGATTGGAAAAGAAGAAGTCAAATTATCTCTATTTGCACATGACATGATTCTGTATGTAGAAAATCCCAAAAAGTCCACAAGAAAATGTCTAGAGATAATAGAGAAACTTAGCAAAGTTTCAGAGTACAAAGTCAACAAATAAAATTCACTTGTGTTTATGTACACCGACCCTAAAAACCAAACTCAAGGCCATCGAGTCAATTCAACTCATAGTGACCCCTCCTTGGGTTTCTGAGGTGTTATCTCTATGGAAGCAGACCAGCAATGAGAAATCTAAAAGGGAAATCATTCCATTTACAAAAACATCTAAGGAAATAAAATACCAAGGAATAAATCTAACCAAGGATGTAAAGGACTTCCATATGAAAATTATAATACACTGCTTGAAGAGATTAAGACAATTTAAATAAATGGAAAGATATTCCATATTCATGGGTTGGA